CTGCCACAGCGGGGGGCGGGAAAGTGTGTGTGTGGGGGGGGGCTGCTGTCTAAGCCAATATGTATGGGGCACTAGCTTGAAAGACAGCTCCCTGTGTGTACCAGCTCCTGCCTGCTCCCTCAACCTCTGTGTTGCTGCCTCTCTATCAGAGGCAGCAGCTCAGGGGTGGGGGGCAGGCAGCTCCATGGGATCTAATGCTCGTGGGCAGATGGCTACCATTTCACCCCCCTTGCTGCCTCTGATACAGAGGAAGCAATGGGGGGATGCACTCAGTCAACAAGATTCACCAATAAACCCAGACTTATCAGTTAACTGTGTAGCACAATGGCAACAAATGGAACCTATATGTTACAGTACAGCCATATTTTAAATAGAAAATAAAACTAGCAGCAGTGTTACTGAAAAAGACCTCAACAATTTAAGTCTCACCTCTTCTACCACTGTATGTGGGTTCTGAAAAAAGCTGCCAGGATAAAATCATTACAGGCTTTTATTTTCCAGATGAACTTAAAAAATGACTTTTTTGTATTTCCCCTATATTTTAGTGATAGATGCACATAAAATATTTGCACACATTTTGGGCATGGCTGCCTCTCTTTCTCAGTTTAAAACAAATAAATATTAGCCTGGTAGAGGAAATCACTGAAAATATTCCATTGAGATGAGAATGAGCACATCGGATAAGCCAATTAAAAACTGCATGAACAGAAGGGATCCAAAATGATTTTCACTAGTGGAGAGAGAAGCAGAAAGAGATGATTTGCATGCATATTTTACAATATATAGCATTATGTGAACTTACCAACCAGCTCCTGGGGATCTCGTTTCTCTATTTCTGAAAACTCCTGGGGAGGAAAAAATAACAATGTTAGCAAGATAGGTCTTTTTGAATCATGCACTAGTGTCACTGGCTAATGGAAATTTTATTTATATATATATAAAGCTCTCAGAACAGCTAAATAAAGACTAAAAGGAAGAATGGAATGTAAAATATTAAACCCAAGGAAATGCTTTCCATCAGAAGTGTAGGACTGGAAGGAACCTCAAGAAGTCATCAAGCCCCTTTGCTGAACCAGGATCAAGTAAGGCAAGATGGTCATCCCGGAAGGTGTTTGTCCAACCTGTTCTTCCAAACCTCTGACGACAGGGATTCCAAAAGCCTCCATCGGATACTTATTCCAGAACTTAATTAGCTGTATATTTTTTTCTCCTAATCTGAATCTTCCTTGCTGCTGATCAAGCCCATTATTCTTGTATTGCCTTCAGTGGACATGGAGAACACCTCAAGAGGCCGGGGGGGGGGACTGATCAAATTGGATCAGAAGACCATTGATTCAATCAAGACTGGTACTTGACCACTGACAATGAATAATACCCAGTGCTTCAGAGGAAGGTTCCCACCATTCTATAACATACAATATATACTTAGCCAATTGTGAAAAGACATAGTACTTTTCCCTTTTATTAAAGGAGCTTTTTTATTCATTCACGACTCAGACTTCAATATTAGGACTAGGGATGTTAAATATCGATTAACTAACTAAGTGAATAGTCAATGCGATTTCCATCAACTAATTGTATAATCAATGACTAGTGCGTGTTCCGCCTTTGAAATGTACAAGAGCTCCAGCAGGGGCTCTTGAGCATTGCAAAGATTGAAACACTGCGTGGAGCACCAGGCCAGCAGGGAGACCCACTGATCCTAGACTCCATGCGGCATTACCTCTTTGAAATGCACAAGAGTCCTTGCTGGGGCTCTTGTACATTTCAAAACGGAAGTGCCACATGGAGCTCAGGGTCAGTGTGTGTGTGTGTGGGGGGGGAGGGTGAGGGTCTCCCTGCTGACCCCAGGCTCCACACGGTGTTTCAATCTTTGCAATGCACAAGAGCCCCTGCAGAATTTGGCAGTATTAATTTCTATAAGAGAAGGGGATTGTGGAAAAAGTTGGTCTTGAGAATGTGGTGAAAAGTTATCCAAAGCTAAGTTTGGGAAGTACTGAAACGCTTCCAAGATCCCAGGAAAATGACTCGTTCTTACACCAGTCTCCCAAAATGACACAAGGGCAGCCATGGTAACAGTATTTGAACCACCTCCCTCTTCCCAAAAAGTCTTTCACGATTCACTGGACTCTTGTGTCCAAAATTCCTCAGCTTCTCAGAACACTGAATCTATTCATTCAACCTAAAATGAACACAATGCTGACTCCTCGTTGCTTAGCAACCAAACAATTATACTCCATTAAGGAGGGGCTTTTTATGTTGGGCAGGGGAAGGAGGAAGAGAGGTCAGTAAGATAATTTGGAAATTTGCTGTGCCAAATTCAGGCTGGCATTATAAAAATCACCAATTCCCAGAAGGCTTCAGTGCCTTTGGGATAAAAACCCAGCATTCCTTTTGTAGAACTAAATGCAGTGTAGCAATATTTACCGCCTTGCATGAAAGAGTATTGTGGCTGAGAGTACATTTGGGTCACAGAAACACAAGACAGACTATTTTTAAAAAATGAGGTACAAGGAGGCAAACATGTGCCTGTTAGCCAACTGGCTAGGAACCAGTCGTATCCTTTTATGTGGAACTGAAGTGGACTGGACTATTGTGTCTTTGATAGTACTCATCTTTAGAACCCTGCAAATCTGCAGATATCCACCAGTATCCACATCCCCAGATGTCAATGTGGATATCCATGACTCATTTTTGCCGATATAGATGCAGGTCGCAGGGCTCTCCACATCTCCCTATATATAGCTAATGTGCCCACACTGTAGTCTCTAGGTGCCAGTATTCTACTACGCACTCTCTCAGGGCTTTTAAAACCTTTTGACAGATAAGGATATATACTCAGGAGAAAATTAAAAAGAAGATACTTGAAATATGAATTGGCAGAACATTTATCAGCAAGTAATTTTAAGAGTCCATTAAAAGGAGGTACATTGTCTTCAGGTTAAAGCACTAGACTGGGACTCAGGAATACAAGAACAGAACCCAGATCACCAAAACTTGCACTACTGCAGCTCCACTGGAGCTAAGAACAGTGTGAATATTAGCGCAAACAGTCCATCTCCCTTCTTCTCCCATTAGAAGGGGAAGACTCTCACCAACCTCTCTGTGCCACTTGCTCCACTCATCTGAAGTGGGTTGTGCCCACAAAAGCTCATGATACTATATAACATTTGTTGTTAATCTCTGGGGGTATGTCTACACTACCCCGCTAGTTCGAACTAGCGGGGTAGTGTAGACATACCCTAAGGTGCTACAGGACCATTTTTTTTAAGTTTAAGTTTTTTTAAGTTGACCCTCCTGCAGGGAGGGTCAACTCTTCACTGTCATCCATCCCCCATTCCATTGTTCACAGCTACTCCAAGCAGCTGCAGTAATGAAGGTGACAACAAATCTTACAAATTTCACCATGCTAATCATGCAAATGGTCAGCATCTGGTGCAGGTGGATGAAGATGCAAAGCAAGGAAACAAAACAAACAAACAAAAAATCAGATTTTAGGGCCCTCTGGATCACTTACATTTCTAAGATCTAGACTTATCCAATGCATAACAAGCCATATAATTTCTGGTCTGCATATTCCAGAGCAGTTTATTGAGACCTACAAGACTACCATTTTCACCAATTGCTTCAGAGGGGTAGCCGAGTTAGTTTGCAACAGGAAAAACTTAAAACACAGTTAATAGTCTGGTAGCACTTTAAAGACTAACAAAACATGAACAAAACATCAATGACTGACTTCAGCTGCTATTTAAGTATCATCACTGCTTTTCTGCTAGCACCCAGAAAAAAAATCCCATTTATTGCTGTTGAGCATGCAGGCAAGTGCTTCTTCAAGCCCTGGCCCATGAGACACTCCCTCTGGCAGCCTGACAGTTGTATATATTATTAAACGGAACCACCAAGATGAATTCATACCAGTTGATGAAGGCAGGCACTGTTGCTGCTTGTTACATGCAAAAACTGCAACATGAAAGCAACATATTCTATTCAAACTCCCATCCTACCATGGTGACTGTTAAGAGATTAAAAGCCAACAAAACTGCAGGGTGTGTCATTCCCTTCCCTCCTCTTAAGGTTACAAAAACCCAAACATGTAGGAATGCAGCCTGCCATCAGGTCCCACTGAAAAAAACAACAATCCCCTCAGTTGGAACAGAGACTAAAACATAGGAAGGAAATGAAAACAATATGAATCTGAGACACACTAGAATTTAAGCTTGAGAAAATGTATCCAAAAAAACAATTTTATTTGATGAAAAGAATGGACTTATTTACAACAATGCTTGCTAAATCCTTCCTGAAAAAATCCATAAATCCAGTTCAAAGCTCACACCCACATTGTGGAACACAGCAGCTACTAAGGTTAGCTCTTGCCAAAGGATACCAATCCTACTGTCAATTTCTCACAGAATCAATGGCATACAGTTAGAGGGGCCATTTTAATCATGCAGAAAGGGAGGGAGCAAGGGAGATAGGGTAGATAAGTGCCTTGTGGGGAAGGAAAGCCTATCAATGCTAAAGAAGGGGGGGGGGGGAAATTACTTCATAAATTTGTGAAGTGGCCCAGAATGCTCCAGAAAGGGTGGGACCTTGTGCAGAAGGGGCGGAGCCAGGAGACTTCTCGTGCTGCCCGCCTTCCCCCCAGACCCTGTTTGGCCAGGGGGGAGCATGTGAAGTCTCCACCCTCACCCCCACAGAGAATCACCAGCTGTTTTAGAACAGCTGGCAGTTCCCTCTACACTTGCAAGGGCCCTTCTGCTCCCAGGCCAATCAGAGTCTGGGGGCAGGGGAGTACGTGAAGTCTCTCGCCCTCTACCCCGCTCAGGGCATGTGGTGGCTACAGAAACGCCAGCTGTTTTAAAACAGCTGACATTTCTATAGGCCACGTGCCCTTGGTGCAGGGAGGGAGGAGACTTCACATGCTTCCCCGTTCCCAGGGCTCAATTGGCCTCGGAGCGGGGGAGCGGCAGGGTGGCTGCGGGCTGGATCCACCAGCTCAGCGGGCTGGATCCACCAGCTCAGCGGGCTGAATTCAGCCCGCGGAAGCCCCTTTGCCATCCCTGGACTAGAGGGATTTGGGTGATTAAAACAAGATCCAAGACAGAGAACTGGATTGACTGAGGGGTCAACGTCAAATTCCCCAGCTTGAGTTCTCTCTTTTCCTATGCTGTTACAACCAACCCAGACTCACAAACACCCTCTATTTAAAAAAACAATGAATGGTCCTGCATTGTTTTTTAATTTTTTTCAGTTACAGACTAACACGGCCTCCCCTCTGTGACCCGCTATTTAGTTTTTTATCACTGCTGATTAGCATCTATTAAACAATCTAATGGGTTGGGAACTTCAAGTTTGACATAGCCAGCTCGATCTTACTTCTGTTCATCAGATCTCCCCATTTATTATCCTAGCAGACATACCCAGCATTGCCCAGGTCCTTCAGGGCAGGGGGCTGGTGGTGTGGAGGGTCCAGGACTCAGGGCAGGGCTTTAGGGAGGTGTATGGGTAAGGAGAGGAGGAGTTCTGGATGGAAGCATGAGAGTAAGGGTTGGGTGTGAGAAGGGGCTCAGGGTGCGGAAGCCTCATCTGGCACAGACCTTTTTTTCTCCTTAGCAGCTGCCAGGGGCCTTTTTTTCCCCTCCTCCCCAGCTGCCGGGGGAGGGGGGGGGCAGGAGAAGGGCCATAGGGCTACTTATTGGTATGCTGGCAGTCAAGATGAGGAGCCCCAGCCTTGCTGGCTACTCCCTTGATAGTACTGTCGCCCCCAGTGGATACTCTCCAAAATAACTCTCTCTTGTGGGCTCACTGCCCCCAGGGACCCCTCTCATATTGTGTCCCTCCGAAC